TTGCAATGTACAAAAACGTTATACTGAAGCAATAGAAATGTTGGAAAAATCTGTTGAAATTAGACTGAAAGTTTTGCCTGCTAATCATCCGGATATGGGAACATCCCTTATTAATATTTCACAAGTCCTCAATGCACTCGGCCAGTACGAGAAGGCAATCAATTACTTGAAGAAAGCGTTTGAAAATAACTTCAATTCACTTCCACCCGATCATCCATCATCGTCCATTATACGTAACAATTTAGGACAATTGTATCATAGGCAAGGGAAATTCAAAGAAGCTCGTGAAATGTATGAAAGATCACTTGAAATTCAACTTAAAGTTTTTCTGGCTGATCACCCTGATATTGCATGGACATACAACAACATTGCTGTAATGTATGAAGGGGATGGGGACTCTACTGAAGCATTGGGATATTACCATAAAGCACTTCAAATTGAACTACATTCGCTTCCATTGAATCATCCAGATATAGCAGCAACTTATAACAATCTGGCTTCACTATTGCAAGAATAGGGTAATTGTGAAGAAGCACTGATGTTGTATGAAAAAGCTCTACAAATTTGGTTAATAGCTCTTTCGTCTAATCATCCTTAAGTTGCATTATGCTAAAGTAACATTTCATCAATTTATTCAGAAAAGGGTAACAATGATAAATCAATGGAATATTTAAAAAAAGCACTTCAGATACAAATGACTTCAAATGGCCCTGAAGATCATCCAGATTTTGCACCAATTTATCGCAATTTGGGAAGAACATATTACGCACAAGCTAAATTTCAGAATGCGTTAGAAATGTTTGAAAAAGCTCTAGAAATCTGGATAAAAGTTCTTACGACTAATCACATGACGCTTGCACTGTTGTACGCTGACATTTCGTTAGTCTACGACTCGCTTGGCGAATACGACCAAGCACTTGAATATTTAAAGAAATCTCTTGAAACAACCCAGGATTCTGGTTCAGAAATCTGCTCTGGTTTTGCAGCCAAATGTAATCAACTTGGTACAGTATATTATAAACAAGGCAAAATCGAAGAGGCACTAGAATTGTATGAGAAATCTCTAGAAATTCAACTGAAAGTCCTTCGTCAAGATCATCCTAACCTTGGAGCATGTTACGGTAATATATCGCAAGTACATTCTGCTCGAGGTGATTACGATAAGGCAATTGAATATTTAAACCAATCACTTGGAATTCAACTAAATAGTCTTCATCCAAGTCATCCGTCCTTAGCTGTAACCTACAATAATTATGGGCTCGTATATTATAACAAAGGACAACTAGAAATAGCATTAGAATTCTATGATAGATCTCTTGAGATCCAATCAAATGTTCTTTCTTCTAACCATTCTGATCTTGCCACAACTTATAATAACATTTCATTAGTTTATTGTGCCTGTCGTGACTATGAAAAAGCACCTGAGTATTTGAACAAAACGCTTCAAATCAAATTAAGTTCTCTTCCATCCGATCATCTCGAAGTAGCTACAACTTATTCTAATTTAGCAGCAGCCTTGTACCGGCAAGATAACATGACAGAAGCCTTGCATTGTGTACAGAGAGCATATGATATTCATATCAAAATTCTTCCATCAGATCATCCTGAACTTCTTCGCAATATAAACTGGATTAAGCGTATTGAAGAAGAATTAGTTTCAACGCAACAAAACGTCGATTGATGTGAAAAGATGGGGGATAGTTTGTCCACAAATCGGCCCTAATAGAATTTGTGCTCTGAGTCTCAAGTGTTAAATATGGCATGACAGATCTCGACGAGCTGAGAATTTTTTGTCACGGCACTTGATCTCCAAACTCCTCCTGCTGAAAGTTCTATCCCTCTAATTAGATGTGTGAAATTATTGTACACGACGACACCATTTTATATCCACTGGATCTCAACTGTTTGATGAGTAAATGAAGACAGCTTTTGCGCCATGGATAGCTCTGGAGACGCGCCACAAAATCATGCTCAGACATGGTTTAAGAAATGCTGCGCTCGGGTAGTCGCCCCGGTCCACACTGTGAAGGATTCATGGGAAAACCTCCAAGTCATAAAATTGTCCTCCAGGCGCACTCCGTCGAGGAACATGGAACCACCGCCGATTTTTGACCGTAGATAGAGCTAACCGAAAGCTACAAAATCATGCTTAGATGCGGTCCAAAATATGCTGCGCTTGGGTAGCCGCTCTAATCTACACTGACAGAATTCAATCAGGTCGCTGTTGTGTAATGAAATTGTTTGACACATGAGCGTCACTATCAAGGCTACCACGGATCCAATCTCGCCACTGTTGGTAGGGCTTACTGAGTGGTACAGAGTCGGGTGTTAACGTATTCCAGTATCCCATGCTAGGCAATGTTCTTCGTTCGTACGAACACGAATATGGGAAAATCAACCGAGTCGATCACAGAATGATACTCTGGTTTTCAATGCTCCGAAAACGCCGGATCTGTGGCAAGGTTGAGAAAATGCATACTACTATCCATTTCAAAATAGTAAGCCCCGTCAGTGTTGACCTTATAGCTCCGAAACGGTGATAGACAGAGAGGTGCGGTTTTCACCATTCGAAAGAGAAATATGGGGCTACGATACCCATGAAACAATCAGTTTACTTTTGTCGGATCTTCAAGGTTTTTGAGAGGGTCTTTGAAAGACTTCAGGTTTTAGGAACTTTGGAGTTTTGAACTTTTTGATTTCATTCAGCAGACATCTAGCCCATACCTTTGTCTACATTTTAACGAAAGCCCGACATTTTTATCATATTCCTACAAAAAACGCCGATTTTCCCGCCAACACGACCGAAAAACAAGTTTTTGACATACCTCAATATGTTTCGCGTGAAATAAACTTTAAGAAAAATCATTTTTGTAGGTGTTCGAGTATGCTCTTTCACGTGGTGCAAGTTTCACACTTCTCCGATTTTTTTCATTTCTCTTCTTCTCTTCAGTTTTCATGAAAATCTCTTTATTTTTCATTCACGCATCCTCCTCGCCATCCGAATTGATATCAAAGTCCTCTTCTTCATCCAGTTGATCCTCTTCAGCAAGTTCCGGGACGATCACTTGTTCCACGAACTCGTCCGCTTGCTTAAAAGTCTCTTCCACCCGCTTACAATGTTCGATATATGACGTACAATCGTCCAGTGCAGCAATATAGGAGTGAGAAAGGGTAGTTATGTCACTCAGCCGGAAGTGAGTATTGTTTGTTCGAACGAACAACTTCAATTGAGCCCAAACCAATTCGATCGGGTTGAAGCAACAATGCTTCACGGGCAGACGTATGATGTCCACGTTGAAAGCAACGGCGGCAAGGTTCGTCGTGTACACTTTGGCTGGTACATGCTTGAAAGCGAGCTCTCGAAGTTCGGCGTTGGTCATTCGATGTTCGAATAGAATGGAATGATCCTTGAGCCACTGATGTAGTTGTGGCTTCGGCCAGGCACGCTTCGGCGGTGTCGATTCGGCTGTGGGGACGTTGTGCCAGGTTGCATTGTCAATCACAATAGCAATCTTGGCCGTGTCACCGTGTTCGTATCTAAGGCGCTTCGCCGCCTCGCGGACCCATTCGACAAAATGCTCGGAGTTCTATAAAAGCAGACAAAAATCATATGATTCAAATTCTCTTGTCATTTCTAAAGATCTCTTTTGCCAAAATAAAATTAAACATTCCACTACAGAAGTAACATGTTATATTGTCCGATTTTTTTTGAAACATGAATCAGTTACTTGTACAAAATTTCCGAACGACACTCCTTTATCCTCTGAGCAGTTCAACTGGTCACTATTAACTTTACGTTCGTTTCATAAACTAACCATAGTACGTCCACAAGCTTTCTTGTTACACATAGAAAATTTTTTCACTATATTCATCAATATTTTCATACATTTAAATCTTACCTACTATAAAATTATTGCTTTTCTATCCCGAAGCTTGCATTCATTAAAAGAACAAAACCCTCTTAGTTTGACTGGCCAAACATTGTCTGTATTTCGGTCTAATGCTGTGTAACTTTTCTATGGTAACTGAAACCTGCCTCGATCAGCATTGAAATCGAGATTTATGTAGGATCACTGTTTTTGTTAATAAATGATAATAAAATAAAAATGGGTTTAGCGGCAGTTACTAGAAGTCAAACATTCATTACAAATGTCCTACCATTAACAAATAAAACAAGGAAACTTTTATACCTTCAGCGTCAATTCTATTGGACAAATTAGATCATGAGTTGAAAGAGTGTAAAAATATCCAATTTTCAAATTTAAAATGAAATTGCTCTATGCTTTGAAAATCGAATTTCTCCTTGTTGTTGAACCGACAACTTGAGTTATAGCTGCTTTAACAAGAGCAAGTCACGTCTAAAAATGCTTAAACATGTGAAAAAATGTTATTTTCCTTTAATTGCCTTTTTTTACGCAAGATCAAGGCCAGATTTGCATTCAGCAACTAAAACTGCATCGAACTAGAGATTTTCCGCAGTTTTTGTTCCATAACGTTTCTTTCACAGTGTGTTCTTACGGACAACATAAGATTGAAAGTTCACTAGCACCTACTTATGAAGTCCCTTTTTTTCTCGTCAAAATGAACTATTTAGAAAAAAATAGGGTCTGTAGAAAACCAGTCCGAATAAAACTGATTTCTGTTTTGGTCTTTGGATAATGCCGCTGTATAGAACAAACAATAAACCTGTAATTACTGAAATTCTTAAGCAGATCGCTTGGATATTGAAGGATTTCTGCTGAAAGCATTCTTAAATACTGTGTTTGAATAGACAGTCTCAATTTAAACTGCCTAGAAAAATTTTGCTTTAAGCTTTCAAATTTAATCCACATTTAAAACACTTACATTAGATGAATTACCGGAAAGTGTTTTTAATTTTTTGTTATAATCATCAATTTTCGCCATCAAATTTTGTTTATCCCATCGATATGGTATTATGCATACATTTATGTGTTTGTTTGGGTAATATTTTTTGACTAATGATGTTAAGTCTTTCATTTGTTTCAATACGGAACTGAGTGTTGATTTTGTATGAGAAATATTATTCGTGCCGAATAATTTGACATACTGTTCCCAAGTTTTCTAGAAACCCAGTTTGAGAACTTTTATTTATTACATATGGAAAGCCTTCTTTTACGGGAGAAATGCGAAAGAAATTTTCACCACTTTTTCCTAATTTGTACAACTCATTCGAACGATCTTTCTAATTTGTTTTGTAGATTGTGCACAACCGTGGTTAAATAACAAATCAAACCGATAAAATAATCAAGTGCTTTTTCCACATGCCTTTTAATCAAGTCCACATATGAAAAGCCCACAAGTAATAAAATATGAGCTGCAGAATCGTTTTCTATACAAGAGGCTGCCCTTGGATTTTTGAGAAAACATTATCAGGATGGTGGAAAAAGCAAAATACGAAAAATTATCAACTTTTTCAAAAGAGAGTTTTTTTCCGAGTGAACAACTGTGATGAAGTTGTAGTAAACAAAGTACGTGAAAGTACGTTTTAGTATGGTTGCATACCTCTGTGTCTCCTCTTTCAAACAGTACGTAAACAAAATAGTCTGATTAACCGTTATTGGAAAAAATGGAATATATCAATCATTGTCCTTACCTTAGTATACCTAGCACCAAAAAGTAAATACAGTCCTAATTTTTGACAAAGGAATTTTAAAGGAAACTAGAAAGAGGATTCTTCACCATTTGTTAAAGCCTTTCTAATGAGCTATTAAAGAAACAAGTCTGAAAGCCACCGGGCGCCGACTGTCTTTGGAAAAAGATTGCTGTTGTCATAGGGCGTCTCTTAAGCTTCAAGCGCATTGATGGTTAACATTTTGGTGCTCAGAGTCAAAGGCATTTATCAAGAGGGATGAAACCAAGGGGGAAAAGCAGATTCGGGTTTCCGTGTGGAACCGCATGGATCCCAGATCTGCTTTTTCCCCCTTGGATCGAACAAGTCGTTATTAGTCAACGAAGCAAATCGATCACGATACTTAATCACAGTTTTTATGACGCTTTTTTTGTCACGGCACTTGATCTCCAAAACTCTTCCTGCGAAAGTTCTATCCTTCTAATTAGATGTGTGAAATTACTGTAAAAACGCAAGCTTTTTTTCTCACACTTTTCCTTGAAAATGCTTGCGCAAAACGAAAGTTTAAGTTTCTGGACGATTTTGCGCTCCGGGACTCCAAAAACCGGCCTGAACATGTTTATTTTTTTCGATTTTTGCCACTTCAATTCGATTCTGTATGTAAAAGTGTCTATGTTCGATGAGTGGAAGATTCTCTGACGCTATCTTCTGGCTCAGAAGAGAAGAGAAGGTAGCGTAAAATTTTGAGCACCTTTTCTCCACAGTGCAGCGTCTCAGTTTTTTAAATTTTAAAGATTGACCTTAAGAAATTTGGCGATAGTAAAGTATTATCTCATAGAAAAAACATGATAAATAATTTCTACATTCACATTTCCGCTCCAAAGCGCTTCCCCGCAGAGAAACGGCAGGCAAGATCTCGAAGCGCATACGTCTGGCCCCCAAAATCCATTCTCAAGCTCAAATCCAAATTTCTGCACCGAACGTTGTTCGAGAACGATGACAATCATTTTACATATACATCGACCGAAAAGAAATATTTTATGTTTTTATTTAAATTTTAAAAAATGGTCAAAATTCTAAAAATAAATACA